GGTCCCAGTATATTCGGGGTCATGTCGTCCGGCCACGGTGGGAGTGCACAGGATTGTCCCCCCAAACAAGCGACTTGTGCAGGGGGTGGACTTCTCAATGCCAAGTTCACGCTGCTCTTTCTTGGACAAAAGTGCTTTGTGTGCAGTGTGCGGGCGTTGGCATCGCTGAAGGGGGAAGGTCCTGCCGGAGGCTCTGTCCCTCTCGGCTGTCTTTCAGGGTCCTCGAATCCCTGTCCCATGTCAGCCTTGGCCTCGCTCTTGCAGTGAGTAGGGTTTGAGCCAAAGCACCCTGGGGTCATCCCTCCTCCCCTCCTGTCCTGCCTCATTTTTCCCCCAGGAGCTGGTTGGGATGATTTCTGGGTACTATTTACCACATTGACCCTGACGAGGTTGGAGAAGCTGAGCTCCTCTGCGTGCCCAGCTCCAGCTTGGGGTTGTGCTTATGGTCAAGTTACAAACCCCGGAAGGCTGGGGTTAGGGGTGAAATGCAGATGCTCCGTCTCTGGAGCCTGCAGGCAGCCTGCCCCGGAGGCAGGATAGGGGCAGCGTCTCCCTGGGCAGTGTGGTCGGAGCCACCCGTGGGGGAGAACAGCTTTGGGGTCCGCAGCCTGTGGGAAGCTGTGTTACACCCCATGGTGGAGTGCGAGCATCGCTCCCGTCCCTGCACGCTGCCCTTCGGCACAGACCTCATCTTTTGCTTTCTCTGCCTGCAGGTGGCTGGAGATGCTGATAGTCTATCCGAGGACAAACAAGCAGAATCAGAAGAAGAAGAGGAAAGTAGAGCCCCCAACTCCCCAGGTAACCCCAGGGACACACACACTGTCACCCAGTCCCTTGCCTCCCTCTCAGGGCTTTGGCATTGCTCTGCTCCCGGGGAAGAGCCCCCCCAAACCAGCCGGACCAGCGGGCTGCCAGCCCTCTGGTGCTGCCTGCGTGGAGGGCGAGAGCTGGGGTGAGACAAGGCAGCAGGACGGCGTGAACTAATTCCTGGTCATCACTTCCCAGGGTCACACGCTACTGCTGCTGCTGCTTTCCTGGCTGCTTTGGGGCCACATTTCACCCCCCGGGCGCTGTCTTGTGGCACCAGCCCTGCATGCGCTGTCCCGGGAGCGGCTGCAAAGCCTCGTGGTCCCCGTGGAGGACCGGGGAGAGGTGCTGGCCGTTCACGGGCCATTTCGGCAGAAACAGGATGAAATTCCGTTGGGCTCCGGTTACCCGCTTTGAGATGACCCCAGAGATAATGGGAATGAAAGGAAAATACTAGAGGCCAGGGCCAGGCTGGGAGCTCCGGGGGCCGGAGCCGGGCTCTCCAGGGACCCGGCGGTGGCTTCGTGCTCACTTTGACTATAAATGGTAAAAAGCGGGGCTGGCCGTGACTCACTCGTTCCTGCCGGGCTCCCACGTGGCCGGAGTGGGGGAGAATCCCACAGATGGGGATCGTCACCCCAAGGCCACCCTCGTCCCTCGCCGGGGCTGAGAACAGCCACGTCCCTGAGGCCGCCTGACCTCCGGGCGCATGTCCCACCGCCGCGGGGGACCGGCTGGGAGGGGGGCCCCCGCCCAGCCTCCGGCCGAGCCGAGCTGCGGCACTGGGGAACTGAAAACAGCACCGGGACTCCCCTGAGCCCCGGTTTTCAGGTCCCCTTCTATGAAGTCCCCAGGATGGTCCTGCTGCAAACCGGGCCATGGGTGGGTTTTGTACAGTGTTTGTTTGAATCAAGTTCCCACCGCTCCACCAGATAAAGAGTTCTGGGCAGTGGGAAAAGAAAACGGAGGGAAGATGATCCTTTTTTGCACACCAAGCTGGAAGTCTGAGCCACCCCCTGCCAAGGGCTGGGGTCGTCACAGCCCCTTGAGTGCTGGCTCTGGTGATGCTCCAGGGAAGATGCCTCCTCTGTCCATGGCCAAGAGCTGACGTGTTAGGCGTAGCCCATCCTCAAGCCCCAGGGAGGGGGCTGCCACATTCGGGGCGCCCCAGCGAGCTGATGCAGCAGGGCAGGGATGCTCACCCCATCCCTGGCGCAACACTAAACCCAGGCTGGGTTCAGGAGGGGGACGGGGCGGAGAGGAGAAGGGGCTCAGCGCCAGAAAAACATCATTCCGGGTTACATTTCGTCACCATGGCAACTTCTTGGAAACCGTACAGGATCCAAGCTCCTGAGCACCAAATAAGGGAAGCGGCTGTGGGAAGGATGCTGGCTCCCCGTGGGTGGACGGGCTCCCCAGGTGCTTTGGGATGGGGAGAGGATGGAGCCTGGTGGCATTTCCCCCCCCCCTTGTCTTGGGGCGGACCACCCTGCTTGCTACCCTCCGTCCGCCCTCTCCATCCCATCACTCCCGGCCCCGTGGCACCAGAAAAAGACTCAAATTCGCTTTTGCAAAACCACCCTCCACGCGGGACCTGCTGCCGGACGGATGCTGCGCTGTGTTGGGCACTCACGAGCAACCTGCAAAGGCAGAAGAAGCATCTTTCCTCTGCATTCCGAATTGTACCGATGCAGGAGGCTGGTCAGGGGAAGGAGAGGGGATGCTGGGGAGAAAATCAGCACCAAATCCCCCTCTGTGAAATGGCTTCTCCTGAAGTTGGCTGCTGTTCAGCTCGCTCTCCATGTGCCGGTGGAGAAAGCCTGATTTCTTTCTAAAGACAGCCGCCCATTAATCCAGCAGCAGATCATGTCTGAGAGCCGCTCAGGGAGGGACGGACACCTTTGTGATTTTAAAAAAAACCTGAAAACAACGGATATTTCTGCTGTTTCTTACTTCGCACGTAGTTTTTCCTTGTCTGTGCTACAGCAGAGCTTGGCTGCAGCCAGGTGCTCCTGGGCATCAGGGCCATTTTCAGCTCCCCCCATCATTTTGCATCTTCCCCCTGCAAAATCACTGGGGTGGGAGCAACGCAGGCGAAGCTGGGAATATCCAGCTGCAGATTTTTGGACAGTCGTTAGGTGCAATCCTAGAGGTGTTTTCACCTTTGCTTTGCAAGCAGGTTGCGGTCTTAGGGGAAAAAGGGCAGGTTTCTCTTGCAGCTTTTGCCATCTCCAGCAGAGCGGTGCAGGCAGCGGGAGAGACTGGGCTTGCTGCCTTTGCCTGCCTGCTGTCTCTGGGAAATCGAGACAGGATTTGGGGCTGAAATGTGGGATTTGAGGCACTACCCTCTGTTGCAGGACGGGTTTGCACAGGGGTGCGGCAGGCTCGGGGAAGCAGAGCGTGCCCAGACATACTTAATGCAACTGGAGGCTGGTTTTGCCAATTTTGGTGCACGCTCTTTTTTGGAGCTGTTCATACCGCTGAGCGGCAAAGAGTTAATTTCTCTGCTTGCTTACAGACCACTTTTTGGCCCTCATATCTCTGTCTAATTAAATACATATCTACAAATAATTATATGGGGGTGTGTGTAAGGAATATATAAAAATATATATCCTGAGCTGGCGATTAGCTTTGGATCAATGAATGAGAGAGTGGTTGAGGTTGGAAGAGCCCTTGGAGATTGTCTGGTCTGACCCCCTGCTCAAGCAGCATCCCCCTCGAGCAGGATGCCCATGAACTCTGGATTGTTTACCTCCAACACTGCATTCCTTTAGAGTGAAATTTCCAAGGGGATTTTTTTTAAGAATTGAGGTCATTTACTGCTTGTTGTGGCTGTGCACGGAGCCAGGACCTGCTCCCTGGGAGATCCCCCGGCGGCCTGTGAATGCCGATTTGGAGGTGCAGGGCTAAAACCCACCGGCGGCTCTGCTGACGTGGGAGGGGGGATGGAGGGGATGCTCCTTGCAGCCCGTGTCCGCAGCCCGCGTCCCCAGCCCGTGGCTGCTGGCTTGGGCACTCCTGGATTCCCCCTGCTCTGTGGAAAGGGAACAAGCAGCCGGGAAACTTCCCACAATCTGGAGGCTTTGGAGGGGGGTTAATTGTCATTGATTTATTGGTGGCTTTAAGGAAAATAATCTCCTAATGCAGAGGCTTAATATGACAACAGCAAAACATCTGCTCGTGAACAAAGCCAAACCCTAAACGAGTTGTGAAAACTGCTGCCTCTTCTGGGGCGTGCACCGAACCTGGGCTGCCCTGGCTGCGGCCACCAAAATGGCATCATCATCTGATGTACTCCAGAGCCCCTCGTTAGCTAGAGAAGCATTTAAGATGATTGGTATTGTTTTAAAATAGCATAAAGCTCAATGCAGTGCTGTATTTCCTTTTTAAAAGAAGCAGCCTGTTAGGTAACCAAAGCACCCGGGAGGAGTACCAAAGCGCCGGTTGGGGTTTATTCTTTTTATCAGTGGCCCGTAGCAAACCAGCTGTGACAAACAAACAATGCAGCTGCTGGTGGCAGGGAATTAATTTTCTCCTCCATCCCCTGTCCTTTAGCTTGATTTCTATTTTTTTTTTTTTTTGACGTTAGTTATAACACTGAGAAAATTCAGTCCTGGCAAATGGGACCTGGGAGAGAAGCCTGGTGTTGGTCTGTATTTGTGAAAGGCAGCGGCTGCCCGTGAGCCAGCCCGCAGAGGGGCTGGGGGTGCGCAGAAGGACTGGGGACGTGGAGAAGGATCGGGGACATGCAGAGGGATATGGGGGATGCTGTGTTTGTTTGCATCAATTACAGAGGATGCACTGTCACCCCAAACTGGGTTTTGGCGGAGGTGAGGGGAGCATTTCCAGGTTCCCTGTGAGTCAGGACCCAACAGACCCGTTCCTCTGCTGGGTCTGCAGCGTTGCACATGAATTCGGGTGCATAGCCCCACGCATGCACCGGGTGGCTTTTGGGAAGAGCTGCTGTGCTAGAGCGTAAGCGGAGCCTCACGGCACCCTGAACGCCGGGGAAGGGCCGGGGCTTTGCTCCGCTCAGGACTGGGCTGCGCGAGCACGAGATGAGCTTTTCCCGAGGAGTTACGTGTCGGTGGCTGCAGCGTCCTGCGCGCCACGCAGGGAGGGGCAGTTCCTATCCGAAAACAAAGCCAGTGAGCCCCTCTGCTGCCGCAGCGCCCGGCCGAAGGTCTCCTTCGTTTGTCGGCTCGCCTTTGCTCTGGATCTTTTCCCAGCTGGATGTGTGGGGAGGTGCGGCCGGTTTCGGGAGCCCTCCCTGGGGAGGGACGGTGAGGGATGTTTCCTCTCTCGCTGTGAGAGGGGCGATGGTCCCTTTGGCCGAGGAAGTCCTGACCCATCCCTGCCGCCGCGCTGCCCTGGGGCAGGGTTTCCACCTGTGAGCTTGTCCCCTTGGGAAGGAACGTGGTGGTGGCACATGGCTGAGCAGCCCCGTCCCCGTCACATCACGGCACGCGTCATGGGCAGCACCCAAGCCGTGTGGGACCCACACCTCTGGGGACAGCCCGATGGGGACCCTGGGTGCGGTGCTGTGGGACAGACCCCTCTAACCCCGCTGTTTCCCCCATTCTCTTTAGGAACCTGGTCCTGCTAAGATGGCCGTGACCAGCAGCAACATCCCCAGCGCGGAGAAGGTCCCTGCCACCAAGTCCACGCTTTGGCAGGAAGAAATGAGGGGCAAAGACCAAGTGGATGGGGGCAGCAGCATCAGCCCGGTGCAGAGCCCGGTGCAAGGCCAGGCCGGGGCTGCCAGCTCCCTGAAGGATCCCGTGCTGGACAGCAAGGAAGGTGAGGGATGGGGGTGCCAGCACTGGTGTGACGCTGCGGTGACCCGGTTCGGGCAGCTGAGCTGGCAAATAAAACACCATACAGGAAAAAGTTTTCCGCAGGTTCGGTTCCCGGAGCATCCCAGTGAGGAGGGGGGCCAGCCTATGTCCCTGCTGTGTCGTGCGGGGACCTGAGTGAGACCTTACAGGCTGGAGTTCAGGAAGGAAAAAATGTGCATCACATGAGGGAAGACCACACAGCGTGGGGCCCAATCCTGCCCTGGCAGGGAGACAGGGCTGCCTGGCCTCACAGGCGGTGTTGCCCTTGTGCAGGGGGGAAAACGAGGGGGAAAACGCCTTTTCTAGCCCCTCCGCATCCCCACCTGGGGCACTCAGAGGACGGAGGGCCATGCTGTGCTCAGCCCGGCTGTCGGGGCTGCCAAGCCCTGAGCACTGCTTCCTCCTCCGGCCCCTGCATCAGGGCCCTGTTTACATTTGGTCTCCCCGATGAGTCCCTGGAAGGCGCCGGGGCCACGGCATTGTTCTCCCTGGAACAATAGGGGCTGGGGACTCTTCCTGCCAGGGCCGTGGACAGGTCCCACACGCTGCGGCCATTTCCTTTATCTGCCCGCTCGGATGGGGGATGCTTTCCGCCTGCTCCCCGCTGCCAGGAGCGAGGTGTCCATCGCCTTGCACCTGCAGAGCTGTGGTCGATGCCGGGTGGGGAAGGACAGGGATGGAAATGGGTGCAGAGTGGTTACCGCGGCCGTCCATTTCTTGGTTTGAAGGTTTAGGTTTTTCAGCTGTGCAAGCCCGACCCAAGGGTTGGACCAGCTCCCTGCAGACTGTCCCACCATCTCCGTGGGCATGATGGATTGTCAGGGTGGAAAAGCCAAGGGTGCAAGAGGTGGCACAGCATGTGGCTGGGGCCCAGGCGTCTCTGCTCTCGTTTCCTGCTCCCATCCAGGGTGGAATCAGGGCGGTTTTTGTTAAAAACGGAACTCAGACTTGAAAGCAAGCGTGGTGACTTTTCTGTCCCTTAGATGAGAGCTCCATGAATGGAGACCGGATAGACTGTGGGCGGAAGACGCGTGTCGAGAGCGGGTACTTCTCCTTGGAGAAGACCAAGCAAGACTCGAAGCTGGAAGAGCAGCAGCTGCCGCCCCCGCCGAGCCCACCCAGCCCCAGCATCCCAAACAACAGGTACAGTTATCCCAAATCGCCCTCGCAGGAGCATGCCCAGCCCTTTCCTTCCCCAGGTACCCGATCAGGCGACCGAATGATTCACAGCTTCTCTCTGAACTCCTTGGACTCGAAGAGCAGTTGCCCCATGCACAAGGACTCCAGCAGCAGAGATGTAGGAAGGGGAGCTGAAAAATCGGGGCGTCCCCTTTCTTTTAAAGCCAGCCGGCAGTACACCACCCTGGCCGACGTTCCCAAGGCCATTAGGATCAGTAATCGTGAGGCCTTCCAGGTGGAGAGGAAGCGGCTAGAGCGGAGAACCCGGGCCCGTAGCCCTGGGAGAGAAGAAGTGGCCCGGCTCTTTGGCAATGAGAGAAGGTAAGGGATGAGTGGCTAATCTCCTCCTTGCATGCTTGCAACGGCAGCGGGGCTGCGTCCCCGCCGCAGCCCTGGACGGAGCAGGCGGTATTTGCCGGGTGAAGCCCCTTTGTATTGCAGTGCTCTTGGGTTTAAGGATGCCCACCCACACCGACCAGGCGGTGGGATGTCCTTAGTAGTGCCAGCAGGCAGGTGTCACCCCGCCTGGCTGCTCTGGGGACAGTTCACCGAGGTGGGTGATGTTCAGTGGCCGTATTTGCAAGCAAGGCCACCCTCCCCATCCCCTCCCTGGTACGGCACACGCTGGCAGCTGGCACCATTAATTAGGTTAGCTCTCTAAATGGTGTTAGTGCTGGGTGCGTTACGCAACTGCCTAATGAGCTGAGAGGTTTCAAAATGTCACGGCATTAATCTGGGAGAGGAGGCGGGTGCAGTGCAGAGGCAGGGTGCAGCGGTCTGCAAAACAGCTCAGTGCGGAGGAGGACAGGGAGGGCGTCCGCACACACGCCTGCACCGTGCACCGGCGTGCTTGGTGCTCTCTGGGCGAGGCGAAGGATGGGCTCGACTTGCCCTGGGAGAGACGCATTTGTGCGGTGAGGGCAGCAGAGCAAACCGGGAGACAGGCCCCGGGCGAGAGGGCCGCCTGCCAGTCTGATTTTCTTGCCCTGGTTTTCCTCCGGGCATGTTCTCTCTCGCACGGTTTCAGCAGGCGCTTCTCCTGTGTTTTTTCCCAGCCCCTAAAGGACTGTTTTCCAGCCTGGCTTCCTCATGCCAAGAGCTGGGAGCGGGTCTGGGGAGGGCGGCACAGCTTTGTGCCGGTGCCACCGGTTGGCAGGAGGATACCAAACCCAGCCCAGCCTCAGCAGCGTGCACAGCGAGTGCATGGGGATAAAGGAGAAGAGCATGGATTTGGTTTTCTCTGCCCCAGGAGCTGGGTGGGAGGAGAGGGATGCCACGCAGGTCCCCTGGCCACCTTGGCTGGGGACAAGGCTGAGGAAAGGCTGGGGACTGCTGGTTTGCAGGCTGAACCGGTGCAGTGTGCTGGCCCAGGTGTGGGTGAGATCGTGTCCCCGCTGGGTTTGCTTGCACAGGACGCTCTGGCCAGCGCCTGCCCCAGTGTGAGAGGATGGCGTGTTCCTCCGGTGCCGACAGTCCCTTGCTCCAGCCCTGGGGGTGTCATGCAGCACTGGGATCCAGCACCGAGCTAGGATGTGCCAGCCGAGGATGGGGAGGAGCAGATTTACAGGCAGATAATGGGGCCCGGGAGAGGATACTGCTGCCAGAGACTGTCCTTTTTTAATGTCAGCCCCACTCATTGCCTGCTGACGGGTGCCTTTTCCCAGGGCAAGTCTGTTTTTCCCAGCCCAGCTGGGCTCCTGGAGCTGTTAACAGGTTTTTATTGCTTTATCAGTATGGGCAAAAATTCCCCTATGATGTCAGCTCAGGGCCTTTATCAGAACAGGTCGGGTGTAGGGAGAGGAGCGGGCGCTGCACCAGGCACAGAGGTCTTGCTGCCCGTGGGGCTGAGCCCAGTCCAGCGTTTGGGAGGGGGGTGATGGCAGAGAGCAGGGCAAGGGGTCCCCATCTCCCAGAGGGTTTGACCGGGGATCGCAGCCGGAGGAGCGTGCCGTGAGCAGGGACGGCTCAGCGGGCGGCGTTTAGGGACGGGCACGTTCGCTTTCTCCGCTGGTAACCTGGGAATTGCCCCGTGCAGGTGGCTTGGGTGGAGAGGCCGTGTGTCCCGGAGCTTGGGTGGACTCGGCAGGGCATGGAGAGGCAGTCCAGCGTTGCACCAGAGAATTAACATTCGCCAGCACCCGTCTTGGCTTGGCTTGGCTGCTTTTTAAATTTGAGTTCACTTAGTCCATGTATCCCTATCATTTTTCTCCTCCGAGCTCAGGCTGTGCTGTTTGAGGTTGAGCAGATACAATAACTCACTTCCATGCTGTGGGGTCAGGTTTTTCCCCCGGGTTTAACACCATTTCTAATAATCCTTCTCAGTAACCCACTAACACCTCCGGGAACGCTTGCCTGAAATCACTTGCCTACATGCCAACCCCATAGGTGCCAGCCGAGCATCGTTGTTCGGCCTTTCATCTCTCAGTGCGGCCAGACGAACTTGCTCTGATTCTGTGGTGTTTTCGGCTCTTCCTCCTGTTTTCCATTTATCCACCGTAAATCAGTGTGTGTCAGAGCTATGATGGAAAAGAATTATTTTAGGTACCCAGTGCTGCATCCTGAGTAACACACCTGTAGGCTTAGCTCCAGATAAAGCTGTTTTTCAGGCTTCTTGTCCTGTTTCCTTATAGGAAGAGATATTACATGACTTAATGTCCAGGACTGTGCTGGAAATTTTCCATGTTGACCATTTATACCTGACGCTGACTCCACGCCCCGTGCAGACGTCTGAGCTCACAGCCACTCAGAAACATGAATCAGAAAACAGGAGATAATCTCCATGATTTTGGCGCGTGTGGCAGAGCAGCGGAG